GGGGGAGGGGACATTAGAGTGTAAGCTCCTCTGTACAGAGACTGATGTGACTGTGGGGGGAGGGGACATTAGAGTGTAAGCTCCTCTGTACAGAGACTGAATTTGTGTATAAATCTAAGTTTAAATCTCAATGTCATTTGAAGGAGAAGCGGAAGCCAGAATTACACTCCACGCCAAGGGCAGAAGACAGGACCCTGGTCGGCGGGTATGTGTTGGGACCCTTTCAGGACATATAGGCCACCTTCTGTGCCCCTCAGGTGGTGGTACTGCTATTAAGAGAAGCTGCCGGGTCTGTACCCCTGCTGTGCGAGGCTTGCAGTGCCTCATGGGATTTGTAGTTCCACCACAGCTGGAGGACCGGCGCTTGGCTGGTCTGGAGGATTGTTGTTTCCTAGTGAGGTTGTATTTGCACACAGACCACCGTAGGTAATGCCCACATGACAGATGCCACCATTGTGTTACAGGCCGGTAGCGTCTCCCCCGTCCCCCGGCGCCTCTCGTCAGGATCGGGTCACAGAGGAGAGGAGGAGGCCGGAGACGCTGCTCCTCTGGAGGGAGCGGGAGAGGCAGCAGCTTCAGCAGAAGCAGGAGACTCTGCGGAGGCCGTCTGTGGATCAGAGAGACAGGTACGGGTAGCAGGAAGTCTATGCGGGGGCTGGTCTGGGGTCTCCTCCATTATGGTGCACCGATGTGGAGTCCACTCTGATTGTGACTTTGTTGTCTTTGCAGCTTACACAAGAACTTACCCGCCAGCAGCCCTCCAGCTCAGAGCCAGAGTGAGGCTGTCAAGTGAGTGTGACTGTATGTGATCATCTATGACTGTAAGACCTGACTGAGTCTCTAACCCAGTGGTGGTCAACTTTCATTATATGTTAGGCCTCCAGTGTGGCCCCTGACATTACCAAAGGGCCCACGCATGATGTTCAGTCAAAACAGACTGTAGACACGGTACATGTGATGGCCAGAGACTGCAGACATACTACAGGAGATGGTCAGAGACTGCAGACATACTACAGGAGATGGTCAGAGACAGCGGACGCGGTACAGGCGACGGCCGGGGACTGTGGACGCGGTACATGCGATGGTCAGAGACTGCAGACACGGTACATGCGATGGTCAGAGACTGCAGACACGGTACAGGAGATGGTCAGAGACTGCAGACATGGTACAGGAGATGGTCAGAGACTGCAGACGCGGTACAGGAGATGGTCAGAGACTGCAGACGCGGTACAGGAGATGGTCAGAGACTGCAGACGCGGTACAGGAGATGGTCAGAGACTGCAGACGCGGTACAGGAGATGGTCAGAGACTGCAGACGCGGTACAGGAGATGGTCAGAGACTGCAGACGCGGTACAGGAGATGGTCAGAGACTGCAGACGCGGTACAGGAGATGGTCAGAGACTGCAGACGCGGTACAGGAGATGGTCAGAGACTCCAGACATACTACAGGAGATGGTCAGAGACTCCAGACATACTACAGGAGATGGTCAGAGACTGCAGACATAGTACAGGAGATGGCCAGAGACTGCAGACATAGTACAGGAGATGGCCAGAGACTGCAGACATAGTACAGGAGATGGTGAGAGACTGCTGACCTGGTACAGGAGATGGTCAGAGACTGCAGACATTGTACAGGAGATGGTGAGTGACTGCTGACCTGGTACAGGAGATGGTGAGTGACTGCTGACCTGGTACAGGAGATGGTCAGAGACTGCAGACATTGTACAGGAGATGATCAGAGACTGCAGACATACTACAGGAGATGGTCAGAGACTGCGGACGCGGTACAGGCGATGGCCAGGTAGGGTTTAGGGTGGCCATTACCATCCACCGAAGGCAATGTGCTACATGAATCAAGTAGGGGCCACACAGGGCCCAACTTTCACTTTATTGAAGATCGGAATCCTGTGAATGTGGCCTGATTTTATAAATACTGTCACATGAAGAAAGTCTTTCATATTCTTCCTGCTTCTCTTCTCCCTCTAGTGGCCCCTCTGAGAACTGCAGCAGACTGCGGAGTCAGGTAAGATACTCATTCTATGGAGTGGCCAGAAAAATAGAAGCCTTTCCTATCAGTGCCTGACCATGGCATCGCTTTCAGCAGTCGGTCACCTACTGCGGTCTTCCCTGACCTTGAAGGAGATCAAATGCAGCTGTGTATGCGTTCTGAATGATGTCATGAACGTCTCAGACTGACGCAAGACAGCTCTCGTACACAACGGGCACTGGTCCGAATGCTAAAACTGATCATCTTAGTGTGCTGCTGGTGAGAATGGGTCCTCAGACAGATTTATCACTGCAGATTGAGACATTTTCAGACCTTCCCCCCATGATCAGGGCCGGATTTACTATCCCTGCCGCCCCAAGGCCATGTTCTGCTATGCGCCCCCCCTCCCCGCATCCTTCCCCCCCACCATCAACGGAGAATGGCAACCAGATGGCAGAGTTAGTTTTATTTATTTTTATTGATTCTTTTTTATCACTTTATTGATAAAACTTTAATTTTATTTTTTTA